CTACAGTATGGGGTTCAGCTGATATCTCAAAACAGTGAATATCCAGAGGCACTGATTCAATTCATGAAGCATTTTGAGTGGACCAATCAGAATACTGCAAGGCCTTTGAAGATTATTGTATTCTGCATGTCCAAGGCCCTCGTCGAGGCTCTCCATAGCCAATACCCGGAGACATATTACTTCCATGCAGATCTGCCTGACCCGGTCAAATCAGACCAATTAGACCGCTTCATTCAGGCAGGTCAGGGTCAGGCAGGTCAGGCAGGTCAAGCAGGTCAAGCAGGTCAAGCAGGTCAAGCAGGTCAAGTAGGTCAAGCAGGTCCAGTAATCCTTGTGGCTACTGGGGCTATTGGGGCCGGTTTTGACTTCTCAGATATCAGTCTAATCATTCACCTGCAGGGTGCCTGGTCATTTACAGATTTCATGCAGGAATCAGGTAGAGCAGCCAGGGGCCCACATGACCGAGGGTCATCCTGGTGCCTGGTCAAACCATCTGACCTGATCGCCAGATCTAGTGATTCCTATGAACGGGGGCTGTTCCGGGCCTACTTGGCTGAAAAGATCTGCCGCCGGCGGTCTATCTATCGGGTATTTAATAATGAGGCTCTGGAGACCTGCCAGGCGGACTGGGCTCTCTGTGATCTCTGTCAGGCACGAGCAGACCAATATCAAAAGACTATTCAGCAAACCCAGCAATACTACCAGACCAGTATAGAGCAGGTAACAACTCTAGTAGATGGACTGCAGACCTGGTGGGAGGATCAGTGTCTCTACTGCTTCTGGCAAGTCTATAGTAAGTGATTCTACTCCTGAGGATTAATCCTACTATGATCCTTATATAAAGACTAGAATTTAAATACTGATATATCTAGGTCAATCCGTGAAATATGGCCAGCCAGGGGAAATCCTGGAGACCCGACAATTTTTGCATGGCTCTAGGACCTGCCAGATATTTCAGGAGATGATATACAGTTTTGACTATGACTGGCGGCCCCGATTTCAACCACAGGCCAATACTTGCTGCTTTACCTGCTTCCTACCAACCAAGGTCTGCCGAGGGGCTCTAGGCAGTCAGTTGACCTGCCAGAGTCCTCCAATTCTTTCCGGCTGGCTGAGCCTGATGGTGTATCATCGAAAGCTATTGGCAAAGCTCTTTCCGCAATACTCTCATATATGGGAGCCTCTGGAGGCCCATTCAAGCCAGATAATCCGAAAGGCACTAGGATATCAATGGGGCCCAATGGACACTGAGGTTCTCTATGCTGTGGCGATTTTTCTTGATTTTTTGATCTGGTATAAAGATCAATAGATATTGTATTTACTAGACTATTTACTTCATTATATACTAGGCTTCTCACTCAATCATTCACTCAATTATTCGCTAATCATTTACTAAATCATTCACAAAATCATCTACTTAATCATTCACCAATTATTCACCAGTCATTTACTTAATTATTCACTAATCATTCACTAAATCATTCACCAGTCATTTACTAAATTATTCATTAATCATTCACTAATCATTCACTAATCATTCACTAAATCATTCACTAAATTATTCACTAATCATTCACTAAATCATTCACTATATTATTCACTTGATTATCCACTAGACTATTTACTAGTCTATTCACAATGACCAACACGGCCATGACTGACCTGGCCTGACCATGACCGACCTGACCAACATGGCCAACACCACCATGGTCAACACCACCATGGTCAACACCACCATGGTCAACACCACCATGGTCAACACCACCATGACCGACCTGACCTGACCATGACCGACCTGGCCGACCTGGCCGACCTGACCAACCTGACCAACCTAACCAACCTGACCAACCTGACCAACCTGGCCAACATGACCATGACCGACCTGACCTGACCATGACCGACCTGGCCAACCTGGCCGACCTGACCAACCTGACCAACCTGACCAACCTGGCCGACATGGCCAACACAACCATGACAACCATGACCAACCTGATCATGACTGACCTGGCCAACATGGCCAACACAACCACGACCACCATGACCAACCTGATCATGACTGACCTGGCCAACATGACCATGACCGACCTGACCTGACCA